CTTTATAGTTCATGATTACACTACATGTGTTTGAAAAAGTCCCTCTGCTGCGAGGCTTTATATTTTCAATTTCTGTTTAATAATGTAAAGTAAATACCAGCAAACGAAGGCCAGAGACGATGATTGTGCTTGTTTAAAAGGGGCGCAGGGTGTGTTGGAAAATTTAGAAACTATTTTAAAGACTACTCTTGATTTTAAATGAACTCATAAGTATTTTATATGTTTTGTATTTTTGAAAAGCTACAGTATTCATGTTATTCTACAAAGTTAAACGTATATATAAAAGCTGAAATGATTATTAAGAAAATTATAGTCTTTATTGTATTTAAGATCCACGTGATCAATAGTAGATTCAATCAACGAACAACTATATTACAGTTGGGACTGTATGCATGCATTCTTTAATATTATAAATTCTAGATGTATCAGCTACGTTGTTACATTTTTTTTGGTTCTTTCTTTTGGAAGTGAAATAAATGTCAATCTTACAAATCTCATTTTGATAATACCTCAGCTTTTAGACAATAGAGGCTAAAATCATTACATTGCAATTTAAAATGCAAGCTTTCATCATTTTACACATAGATTTACAGTTGTTTCAGCTGAGAATGCTGCTTGATTTAAAGCCTATGTATGATTTCTGTTGGTCTATGTAGAGTCTTTTGTAGGCTATTTGTTGATACTCTCACTATGCCAAAGTCCAGATCCCTATCCCTGCTAGCTGGGACAGTGTGCATCTCTGCATAAACATTAATATTTTGACTTTTCTCATCAACAGTATTTTACAATCACACGCTGAAGCTTTAGCTTTTTATCATGTCAATCAGAAATGATTATTTGTTGTGATTCTGAAGGGCATTTGTCTACAGGTTGTGTTCTACAGCTCAAGGTATTGTTCATACTTGAAAGTGTCTATCAAGGGCATAAAATAACGGCCTTTGAGAATAAATGCAATAGTATTCTAGAAGGGCAAAATAGATCATATAGAAAACTATTTTTTGGAAGGTTTATTATGTAGACTTTCTTTGTATATAGTTGCACCTTTGAGTTCTTACACCTACAGACTTTATGATTTTTCCTAAAAGAAAAGAAATTAAAACTATAGTCCTTTATAAGGTCTCATGTTGATATGATTTGTCTTGTTTTGATCTGAGGAGTCATGGAATAAAAGGCTACAGTGGTAGTATTTGAAGAAGCCTTTTAGCCTGTATAACACTTATTTTTCCTGCCAACGTTTCTTCGTTCACTAAAATGTATTAGTTATGGCTTTAATGGAACTTTCAAATTTTATGTCCATGCTCTTTTAATGTACTGTTTATGTTAATGAATGTGTGTCTAATAAATATCTCTATAACCTGTGAGCTCTTAGTGTTCATTTGTATACAGTCACAGTTATTTTGTTCTCTGTGCCACGGCAGCTGTGACATGCTGTGTCCAAAACCACATACTACAATACCATACATACCACTAATGATGCTATACTGTTTTACCATTCTATTTACTATGGTATCAGTTTTGGACGCAGCTGTGTGCCATTGGGTTTATGTATTAAACTTAAGCATACTGTATTATATATGCATATAATGTAACTTGAGTAAAACCTTATTGTGAAAATGACCTTATAATTTTTCATGTAGGTGAAATAAACTGTACTATAAATTATAGATACATTTGAGGATAAGATTAAAACCATGACTGGTTTGTAAAATTTTCCTTTATTTTTGTGCATTTTTGTACAACTAATGTTTAGGTACATATAAAATGAGTTGGGAGAGCAGGTTTGGTTGGCAAAGTGTTAAATTCTGGGTAAATAGAAGAACTACTGTAACAAAAATGACTGCCCTCTTTACCAACTTTCATCAATTTTGTTAAGCACTCTGAACATGACAGTCTTTTAAGGTGGGGATAACTTTTTTAGTTTTCTGTGTTAAAAAAGTTTCCCTGAGTAAATACATTATAGAAAGAGGCACTAAAAATGCATACGTTTTAGTTAATAGGAACTGCAGTCAGCTACAAACCCCATTTCCAAAAAAGCTGGGATTTTGTAAGATGCAATAAAAACAAGAACTGATGTGTTAATTCTCTTGAACATTTAAGTACAAAGAAAAAGATTGTTTTCGCTGATCAACTGATGGCAGCATATGTCTCTCTAAAATACCAATGAGAGCCGCATCAATACCTTCACACATACGTAAATCACCCATACTGTGGGCGCTGATGCACCTCCATACTACTACACTACCACTATGTTAGTTTTTGCATCTTTTACTGATAAAATTCAGGATGGTCATTTTCACATTTTGTCATTAGGGACATACATATTCCTCAAAATCAAGCTGAAACATGAACTCATCTGACCACAACACACATTTCCACTGTCTTTCGGATCATCTGAGATGAACTCGGACCCAGTGAACCTGGCGTCGTTTCTGCATAGAATTCATGTTTGGCAGCTTGGCAAAATAAAATTTCAAGCTGCATTTCTTGATACAATGGCAGACTGTGTGAAGTGACCACAGTTTTCCAAAGTACCTCCAAGCCCATGTGTCTGTATTTATCACAGTAGCATGACGGTTTCTCATGCAGTGCCATCTGAGCGTTCAGAGGCCACGCACAGTAAACAATGGTTTCTGGCTTTGCCCTACATGTTTTTTTTTAAATTAAGGGAGATTTTTCCAGATTCCCTTAATTCTTTCACGATATTATGTACAGTAGATGATGAAACACCTAAATTCTTTGCAATCTTGAGTTGAGAAATATTCTTTTAGAACAGTTTGTTCAATTCTCTCACAAAGTTTGTCACAAAGTGGTGAGCCACCCATGCAATTGCAATGACTGAGCCTTTGTTGGATGCTCCTTTTATACCCAATCATGATACCCTCAACTGTCAGTTCACATGCTGAACATTAAAATTCATTTCTTTGTATCTTTGTCAGTTAAATAAAGGTTTAAGAGAATTAACAAATCACACATTTGTCCCAAACTTTTCAACTTGTTTACCAACTTTTTAGGAAATGTCCCAACTTTTCCAGGAATGGGGTTTGTATATTTTGATATATTATCTGTCAGCCAAAAATAAGTAATGCTAGCTAGCTAACATGGTGTAAATATAGAGCTGTTTGGTTGGGTGGGGTTGGTCGTCACATTGATTTTGCAGTTGGTTAGCACGTGATCGGCCTGCCCTGGTGCAGGGCTGTTGTCACAAGATCTTTTTATATAATACACTGCACACATACTAATCATATACTAAATAACACAACTAGAATGTAGTGTTTATCATAAATTTACAAGTATAAATATGATTATAAATATAAATATGATTTTTTAAATTAAGAAATATGAAATAGAGAACCTTTACTTTGAGTTAAGTTGAGTATTATTTTACAATGAATATCTCTACTTTTACTCAAGTATGGGAATTGTCTACCACTACATTTGATACAAGCAAAAGGTAAAACAAACATTCTCAACATTTAATTGATTCAAAAACACTATTTGCCATTTAAGTTTTAGGTTTGTGATTTGGTTACACACTCAGATTATTTTTATTCGTTGCTTCATTGTGTTAAATAATAGCCTTTTAACATTGTGCCAACATTCTCCTTAACATGTGCCAACAAACCCCATGTTAGTGCTGGTTGTCATAAGTGCACAACTGGAACGTACTCATTGAATGATGTTTTTAGCTAAGATGTTCAGCTTTCATTTTCTGCTAGCTGGGTTATCTTAATGTGTAATATGTTTGGGAAACATGTATCCCTGCATTGACATCAATTTGTTGTTAGTGGAAAAAGAAGGAAAATGATTTATTGTTATTATTATTACTACTGCTTTTCACCAGATATATGTAACAGTCGTTAGGATATCGCTGTTGTCGGAAGAAAACCTCGAATCTCCAAAATGGTAACTTTACAGGAGAAGGAAAAAACCTACTTTACTTTTGATGTAAGTCAATGAAACCAGATTTTTTTCCAAGTCATTTAAGGCTGTTTCTTTTGGTCCATTCGTCATGAAATTTTCACACAATCTAAAGGGCACCAGGCTTTTTCGAATTTTGTTAAAAACTGAAAAACAACCAAAATGGAGATATGAGGTTCTTCCGACCGGAGCATTATGTATTTCTGAATATTATCACTGGAGATTTGGAAATTGTAAGTAGAGGGGGTGGCGGGCATGGGGATGGGGGGAGTCAAGTGAATGGGCTGCCTCGTTTTCCTTTTTTTTCTCTCAACAGATGGTCTGAAGTGTCAGCTGACAGCTCTGAGAGATACATGGTCCCTGAGGTCCCCATTCTCTCTCTCTCTCTCTCTCTCTCTCTCTCTCTCTCTCTCTCTCTCTCTGATCACTCAGCCTTCACATCTCTCACTCACTGACATCTTTTCTCAGAGCTTCATAGCTCTGTGCTCTTGGCGTCATGTTAGACATGGTGTAATGGACTGACATGACATGACATGAGGTAGAGCTGTCACGGTGAGAAATATTCACTTTGGTCACTAAACCCACTGGACAGACAACTGTAGTTCACTGTAGATAATTGCTTTAGATGTGGTTGACCTGTGCTATTGACTATCAAGCAGAAGTGCATTAATGGCAGTTCACAGTGCTCTGACAATGTTGAATAAGTGTGAGTCTACTATTTATCTAACAAGTTATTTTCTGAATGGTGAGTCCCCACTGAAACTAATGAATGGAGTATTTGTCCCTCCCTTACTGCAATTGTAAGGTTTAAAGCACTCTGTGCAATGCTATTGTCCCTCGCAGTTTTAGATGAACAATGCAGTTTGCAAAATGCAAAGTCTTAAATTATGTTGGGAACAGGAATGGAGTGAATAGGAAAGTGATCTGACTACTAAAAAAGTTTCAGTGCTGCTTTATTAAGGTTAATTGCTGGTTAATTAACAGCTTCTGATACATTTGATTAGACTTTGTACTAGTTATGCATTTCTATTTCAGCTGCCACATCATTTCCTTGTAAATGACTGATTAGAGTGTTAGTGTTATGTTTATGAAATCAAAGGTTAAAGCATCTAGGGTTCAAAATATACTGAATCATTCTATATGAATCATATTCTATTAATCACTTTGGGATTCAAAGTTAGACAACACACTAAACCCAGTCCAGCGTACAGTCACAGTGCTTAGTTTCAGCAAAGGTTTATTTGCTCATTTTAGGGAAAAGATGACACAGCTTTTTTTTTATAAAACATGATATAAAGGAATAAGATGGTTGAGCAGGACTAGCAGAATGTCTCTCTCTCACTCTCGCTCTCTGTGTCTTTCAGTTTTCAGGATGAAAGGAATGAATTGCTTCTCTCTTTTGCTGAATGGAGCGTCTTACTCTCTTCTTCCTCTCCCTGTTTTCAACCAGGACACAAACTCTTTAGCTGCCTGGTCCTGCAGGTAGGAGCTCACATCACTGGTGTAAGTGCCGTCTGCATGCCGTCTTGTTTGGGTACTAATAAAAGTAAAGATATTAAGAGAGTTAAAGTATAATGATAAAAAAGATGTATCCAGTCTACCGATTGTTCAGAGCAAGCACCAAAATCAATATGAAACAGGCAAATGTAATGTCGGAGCTCAGATCCTTACCATCCAGAACTGATATTATTACAAAATTTACCAAGAAATGTTCATCTGAAGTTCCAAGACATTACATCAAATTATACAGTATTGAACCTTTTTGATGCACTTTTTCTTATTGGCTAATTTGTACTAAGGAAAACTGAAAAAAACAGTGGAAATGGCTTTATTTTGAAATAAGAATGAGGCTCACATACACAAACACAGTTAAACTGATGTTGGGTTGGGTTGAAAAGTTTTGCGTTCTTCACAATGAAAAGACGTTGAGTAGTATTCAATTGTTAAACATTAATTTGCATTTTTTTTAAAAGCATGAAAAACAACAATATAAGACATACCCACTCCTCTTTGAGTTCATCAGCCACTGTACGAAGTCCTGGGCTCTTCTTGTCTCCAGATATTTGCTGTAATCGTTTGAGAACGTTCCTTCTGAGTGCCTCTTCATATTTGCTGGATCGTTGAATAGCGTGTCCTCTAAAATCACACTGAAAGAAAAAACAACATTGTTATAGTGTTTAATTGTGACTATCCAGCTAAGCAATGAATAATGAACTGTTAAAGAAGCAAACATTCAAATATATACAAAGACTTCAAAGAAAAGGCTGTAAAGCAACAATAAAATCATTGGCCAAAGTGTTCTATCTGAGTGATAAAACTGAGAGAAAGTCCTCATTTGAGGGTCAGTAGCTTCTTAAAAGTTAGATAGGGAACTTGCTAATAAATGAGAAACTTTTTGCTCTCTCACCTGGAGTTCTCCTCCGTGTCTTGAGTGGGAATCTGCCAGCTGCTCTGCACAACGATGAGGAGTAGGAGTCCAGTCAAAGAAAAAATGCCCTTCATTCTGTCATCCGAAAAAAAGAAAAAGCAATTTCCATTCAACACATACAATCAGCAGCTGTTAACAATGTCAATACTTCAGTAAAACCTTCATTCAAAAACAAAACAAAACAAAACACAGTATGTTTGATGAATGTTGGAGTTCTCACCTGTAGACTGAGTGGTCGTTTAGAGGAAGAAAGCAGAGGAAGTGAGAGCGTGCTGGTGTCTACTGGTTTCTTATCTGGCTCCCAGGAGTGCGTTCCTGGTCCCTGCCTGCTACTGTCAGCCTTATATACAGAAACCCACCCATAGACAGACAGCCCAGGTGACACGCACACACACACACACACACACACACACACACACACACACACACACACACACACACACACACAATCTTACTCGTTACTCTCAATCCATTAGTCAAGACTCTGTTTCAATGCACTGGATATATTTGCAGAGTGAATTTGTTTAAAAGAGAGATTCTGCAATGTCCGGACAGCTAAAAAGCTGTCACTTAAAAGTAGAGCCCAAACATGATGCCATCCTGTCAAATACAGTGATTCATTTCAGTTTCCAGGAAAGTGAGTATTTTCCACTGAGGTCAGTGAAGCTAAATGACTGGAAGAATGAAATATATCTCTGAGCTATTGTGGGTTTGAGTTCAGTGTTATAGAACATTTATTAGAATTTTTATGGGTGGATTTTCTGAATAAATAACAAGTCCTCAGTAGAGAATCACCACTGACAGTGCAGATTAGCTTTGGATTTGAACTGAGTCTGAAAAACTCCATGAAACGAATTTGAATGTTCTTTTTAATGACGCACTCTCTTTTTTTTCCAAAATACCACCTCTTCTAACAGGTAAATTTCCTGGTTTAAGATGCACCTATTGCTTGCACAAAAATTCAGTTGTGTAAACAGCTTGTATCTCCATAGGAAATCACTGCCAATAGAATGGGACACTTTGGAGCAGCCACACATGAGCCAAAAGCCTCCATGCCCAATGCCAAGCATTGGTTAAGCGTTTGTTACCCAGAACTAAACTACATCAGTACCTGATCTCACTAATGCTCTTGTGGCTGAGTGCAATCAAATCCTCACAGTAATGTTCCCACATCTAGTGTAAAACCGTCTAAGGAGAGGGGCAGTTAGTGCAGCAAAGGGGGAGCAAAGTCTCTATTAATATCTTTGATTTCAGAAGAAACGCTGGGTGAGCAGGACCACACGAACATTTGGACATGTTAAGAACTGTAATGTCTGAATTCTAAACTCTCCATTCATATTTTACTTTGATAAGGAAAAATGCCACAGAATGTGTTCTAAAGCAAATGTTTTTGGACAGGTTTACCTTCAGTGAACATTTGACAGTATCCACTTGTGATTTCATGTGATTTATGCTTTCAAATTTGACTTGTTGAATATAACATGGACATTAATGGGTTGATAGTCCTTCAGAGGCCTCATTGTTTGTTCCAAAGTAGACATAAAGTGGAGGTTCAATTACATTTCATTACATCAGAATATATTGGGGGCAGGTTTGTGAAAGATTTTTACTTTGCTGGGAATACCTGGAATTCCAAAAAGCAGGCAGATCATCAACGCTGGGGTGTTCTAGCAGGTCAGTGACACATTTTAGGGTAATATTGGGCAATGGACATCCTTAACATCCTTTATGTGCATCAGCATTGCACAAACCTTACATGCATGTGTCTTATCTGCTGCAGCTCGGCCTGCAGATAACACCACCATAGACTCATACACAGTCAGAACCAGTTTGAAATGTTTTGTCTCATCATTTATTTGGATATTTGCAAACACTATATAGAGTTACACTTTGCATTCCAATACCACAAATGTATCAGAAGCACTTTCTTCAGAATAACTCAATCATTACTTTAAAAACGATATGCAGATCATACTGAAGACTTCAGGATACACATTGATTCAGTGCAAGAACACCCTGAAATAACCAGACATCACAGACAATGTCACATTTTCTGTAAAGCTGCAATATTCTTTATACATATTATTAAAAAAACAAACATGCAAATGCTGAACACAGATAACACACTTGTTCGGCTTGATCAACATCCAGCAAGAGGATAAAGAATAGTGGCCAAACAGAGGAGAAAAATAATCAGATCCTAAAAAAAATTGCAAGCACACAGCATTCCAAGTCTCAGTTTGTACATTTTTAACATTTCCACATAAGTTATATTCATGTTCGTTACACAGTTCAAGGTCAATACAAACATCTTGTGATGTCTGTGATGATCTATTTCTTCTTAGCATAGCACTTCTGAAGAAAGTGACTCAGGTGCTTATAAAGGTGGTAGCGGGCTTTACCAGACAGGCCGTGGTCTTTATCTGTGTACCACTGCAAAGACACATGACAGAGAGACAGATTTAGGTCTACATATGGCACCAATTCAAATCTAAGCAGGTCTCAGTTTTAATAAAGAAGCTTCAGGGATGAATATCTATTATTCCTACTGTTTATTCACACTCTCCTCTGACACTCACCATGGCCTCAAAGTCCACCTGCTGCTCCACCAGCGCTTTAGAGATCTGAGCAGCTTGCTGGAAATGGACATTATCTGAAAGCCCCAAAAACAACATTCATCACAAATAAACAAACATTAAGAGCAGAAAAGGACATTAAGTGAACTTTTATTGTGAATGGTCTAATGGAAATGCTACAAAATCACTTGGAATAAAATTTTGTTACATTATAGTACACTGAAGTTGTAGAGATATAGGATGTTGCTACTACAACAATGATACAGTTGTATGCATCCCTGTTCAAATGACAAGTGAAACATAAGTACACATCCTCAACAGAGAACACATTTAAGCACATTTTAATGCACAGTTGCTGTTTTTTTGCAGAATTTAACATTTTGGGGGAAAAAATAAAGTATAAACAGTTGCCTGTGTAAAGGTTACGTCACATTAGATTATATGTTTTATTTTTTCCAATGTTACACTCAGCAAATAACCACTAATTGTGCGCTAAAACAATATTTAAGTTTGTATTGTAAGTTTGCTGTAGAGGATGTGCTAAAATCAACAAAACATGTCATTTGATTGGAGGTGTTCAAACTTTACATGAGACTGTATCTAATAGACTCTGCTGGTATATTGTTGTTATTTTAACAAGCAGTATTGCAATACTAAAACTGTCAGTTGCAATAACTGCAGAATTATGCTATATAATGAACATTTAATTAGTTAATTTTGGCCAGTCATGAAGTCATACCATCTGCAGTGCCATGCACCAGCAAGTATTGCACTGATTTAAAATTCTTCGCTCTGCCTGTTACGGTGGAATTCTGCAAAAGTAGGATGGGAGACAACAGACAACAGAGAAACACAAATATATTAGCCTTGTATCTTTAGGCCTATGTCATATCAGCCATTGTTCATTTTCCACAGTGGACAGTATGCCGTGAGATGTGATGTGAGATGGCCCTTACATTATAGCTGTCAGCATTCTCCTCAGGGCGGTGCATGTACCTTTCAGTATACACAGCATCTGGAAAGAAACATCTTTCAAGGCTTTGCCAAACTCTCTTAAAGTCCTTAAATGTCCTATATCTTTTTTTCTATTTTGTTTTTTCCACTTATAATATTTGTGTGGTAAATAATTTTTACAGTGCCACTTTCCATTCTCCCACTGTTCTTTTACTGTGCCTTTAAGATCGATATATGTAAATGAGCTCAGTTCTGATTGGCTGCCCTGTACTGTGCCACATTCAGAAAGCACTCAGAAATGAAACACTACTTAGAACGTAGAAGATATGAGTAGGCAGGCTAATCTGCTGTAGGCTTTAAAAGTAGCTTTATGTAAATAAGTAGGTTCTCATAACATTAAAGAAAACAATTAATTCAAAATGAGCTGTTTTTGCAGCTTAGTTTCCTCATATTGACAGAATGGACTGAAGAGTGAATGGTACATTTTGAATCTTTAACAGTGTTTACATATCACTGTTTTCCAAGTTGTACCTGCTTTTGTCTTTTGTATATTTGTGCTGTGAATATCCAGATGAGTTAGCTTTAACTTTAATGGCTCTTCTAAAAGAGACAGCAATTTATGTAGATTCTCACTTCAGTGTTTCATATAAAACTTTTCTTGTGAGAAAGTCAATATAATATTTCTAGCTTAAAAATCATTTATCACATTTCCATACAGATACATTAAAAATAAATGCTTTTCATTTTTGGCAGTTTTAAATTATTTTTAGATAATTAAAAAATGCAACATACCATAATATTCCCACTTGGAAACGGGAGCCACAGCGATTCCACATTTAAACAGGCCGCTCCCTGATCCCAGAGCCATGGAAGTCACATAGCCACCATATGACTGCAGTGAAACAAAGTCTGGGCTTATTAAATTATACTTATAATGTGATTAGATGGGTTTCAGCCATAACTCATAGATAGAAGACAATTTTATTTAATTTATTCAACTTTTTTAGTAAGAAAACTTACCCATCCCCACATTCCAATTCTGTCCTTGTCTATAAAGCCCATGTCGATGAATTTCCTACAGGGAAAATAGAACAACATATTTCCTTAGCTAGACTACAATTGTACAAAGCAAGAGTTGGACAAGTACAATGTGTGAAGTTAAACATATTTAAATTATTAATGCATTGTGAAGAATGGGATGCCCAGGAAGAACTGCTGTAATTATCTTTAAAGAACTACAGCAATGCTTACAGTAAATTACACTGTATGTCCTAAAGTCTGTAGACACTAACATTTCTTCAAGGTTATTAATAGGGATGTTGTCCCCTTTTGCTACAGTAACAGCCTCTATTATTCTGGGAAGGTTTTAAGCTAGAAGTTGGAACATTGCTGTGGGGATTTGATTGCATTCAGCCACAAGAGCATTAGTGAGGTCAGATAATGTTGAATAATTAGTTCTGAATCACAAATGCCACTCTAGCTCATCCTAAAGGTATCTGAAGGAGGTCTATCACTTCAGAGAATGCAGTTCCACTGCTTCACAGCCCAAAGCTGGGCAGCTTTATACCCATCCAGCTGATGCTTGGTATTGGGCATGGTGACTTTAGGTACGTGTGCGGCTGCTCCAGAACATTCCATTCTATCGGTAATGCTTCTCTATGGAGATTAGACATGCTGTGAGCTCTCAATTGAACACCTATGTCAGAAATGAGGGGCCCTTAAAGTAGTTGAATTCACTAATTGGGTGGAGTGTCTGGATACTTTTGGACATATAGTCTACCATTCATATAATTTCATTTTT